CACGACATCACTATTTACATGCTCTATAATTAATCAAATTTAAATAAAACACACAAACAGTCAATTTATTAAGTATTACTTTAAATTAAAAATATTTATTTGATTTTTATATTAATATGTGTTCAGTTAATTAATAGAAAAGTATGTGAATAAACAGTTTTGAAGACTTTTTATTGATTTTTTGTGTGTTTTTTTCCAGTTTAATTAATTATATAGTAGGTTAGGTAATAAAACACTTATTCAATGACTACTCGGTGAAACAGTCAAACTGTTGTCCCTCCGTAGTGGGGGAGACCTGAAAAACTGTTGGCCTCGGCCTTCGGCCTCGGGCAACAGTTTCCCAGGTCTCCCCACTACCTCGGGACAACAAATTGACTGTTTACCTCGTAGTCATTAAATAAGTGTATATTATTATATCCTCCGCTTGAAAAGAGGGAGGGTATTTAGTGATCGGGATGTCCGTCCGTCCGTCTGTTACGCTTTGAGGTATCCATCTCTTATCCGCAAATCCTCATATATAAAAAGATGTGTTTGTGAAACAGCTATGCCCCTGTATGGCAACATAGCGAAGCTTAACTTTAATTTCTTAAATGCAATTTAAATATAGTGTTACCCAAAGTAGGGTCTTTTCACAAGAAATACAACTGCAAAATAGGAAAGCCCTAGCACCATTTGTTCAAAAGTAATGGATAAGTTTTTGAAAGGTAGGTCAAACTCAAAGGTCAAAGTTGATGATATCTTAAGAAAATGTTTAATGTAACAAGGATTACATATGGGAAGTATGAATACCCTAGCCCTTACCGTTCAAAAGTTATGGCCAAGGTAAAAAAAAATCGTAAGTACGGAAATCTCCAAGGTCAAAAGGTCAAAGTTTTTAGTATCCCATGAAAGGTAATGCCAAAAAACTACATATTTTAAGTATGAGAGTACTAGTATCTACCGTTTTAAAGTTATGGCTAAAGTGAAAATTTGGCATTTTTTGTGTAAAATGGGACAAACTCCAAGGTAAAGGTCAAAAGGTCAAATTTGGTGGAACCCAAAGTAAGGTCTTGTCACAAGGAATATGCGTATTAAATATGAAAGTCATAGCTCCAATAAATGAAAATTTATGGTCAAGGTTAAGGTATTTGCGGACAAACAAACCACCAGATAGACAGACGGACATACAGACGAACACGATAAATCTATATACCCCCGAATCTTCGATTACGGGGACATAAAAAGAAATGGTCTTCAATTAACTTTTCCTATTATTATACATTATAAAGAAGACGTTACAACAATGAAAATGTTTGTTCTGATTTTCATATTAAATTCTCTGAAAAATATTCTCAGAACTAAGTAAAAGGGTGGAGTAAAACAAGAATTCAGGTAGAACTTATGTCGGAAAAGTGTTTGTCACAAGATTTTCAAACTTTTCAAAATGATGAATTAGAACTTGCTTATCAATCAGTTAAGATATCATGATCTAGAACAGGCTGTGCAACTTGGTATGGTATTTACATACTGCGACTTCACATTTTCAAATATTTTTAGGGGTACTTGTCATAAAGTGAATATGAAAAATCACAAAAATACTTCTTCAAACATCGTCGTTTATAAACTTTATTAACTGAATAATATTAAACAATATTTTATCAAGAATGTTTTCTTTTTTATTCAATTAACATATTCCTCCTGGATAATGCGTTTATCAAAAGTTAATTGATTGACACAGCGGAATGCCGTGGTCAGTGCTGATGAAACCGCTCCTTGCTGCAAACTATTTCCACGTGATCTATATAGGTCAACTTATCAAGATTTTGAAAATCCGGGCAGCATTCTTGAAAGACAAAGAACAGGATTTAGGGAATATTTTACATCACCGTAAGGTATGTTGAATTTAAAGTAGTATTCATTGTGTATACATGTATAAAGAAAAATTATTTTCATGATTATAGTTGCATGTGTTTGTAAAAGCCTAAATCATTCCTTGTAAATGATTGTATACATCCTGGATATTTAAGGGCGGTTCATTGGTTGTTTTTTAAGTAAACTGATCATGGAAGTTTATCATGATTGTGCATTTACATATGTATTGTGACTTGTATCTAGTGTGAGTTTTCTTTATTAATGTATACTTTAGTATAATCACCCCAGGCTTAGAGAAAGATTGTCAACTTCTTAACATGATATGTAGGATGAGTTTGTGTGTGTGTGTGGGGGGGGGGGGGGGGGGGGGGGGGCTTAACGATGGAGTTGGTTAAATACTTCTTCGGATATGTTAACTAATTTCTATTTATGTACAGTGTCATGTATATATTTTTCAATTTACAATTCTTAACATGAATATAATTTTTCATTTACAGCGGCTGTTTACAAATACCAAATATTATTTGGTACCTTTTTAAAGATTACATGTTATAAGAGGGATTGGGCATAATGAGGTTTTGCTACACACCATCCTTGAAGAGGAGTATTAATACTTTAAAGTATGTTTGAAATTTCCTGACAAGGATGTATTATTACGGAGATAGATTTATTTAGCATATATTTTATAGAACAGTAGAACATACACATTTCCTTGTATTTATCTTATTTATTTAGTTTTTAAATATTCTAAAGTTATTCTCTATATCTTTGTTTTGCAGAAGAAAACAAAGAAGCCCAAGTGCCAAACGAATGATTTTCAAAGGAAGGATAATGTGATTTTTTTTTGTAATTTCAATTGTGACAAATCTTCTATGTTAAGAAGACAATTATTGACTGTGCGGATGTTAAAAAAGTTCATGGATTACATTTGTGAAATGGATTAAACTAATTAAAACTGTAGGAAGTACAATATTTTTTGTGTACTTTTTTAATTCTTTAAAACATGTTAGAAATGTTTTGAAAACGTTTTAAAAAATGTTTTGAAAACGTTTTTAAAAATGTTTTCAAAACATTGCAGGACACTGTTTTTGAAAAACGTTATGATAACGTTAAAAAAAACCATACAAAATAACGTTGTAATAACGTTTTAGAAAATGTTTTTGTAATTTTTTGAAAACGTTTTTATAACGTTTTTATAACGTTGTTGTGCTACCTGGGTTTCTATTGGACAAAATAACAGTATGAATCTTCAATCCATCATACTCCTCCTACATGAGTGGAGCCTGGGAGAGGATGATAGGCCTTATGAGACGGATCCTAGACCCCCTGTTGATAGATGGTACTGCAGAAAAGCTGACACATGAAAGCCTTGTTACATGTTTGGCTGAGGCGGTTGCTAACATAAACACACGACCACTCGTGCAAATTTCAACGGACCCAGAGTACCAATTTATACTTTCTCCGTACACTCTTCTGACCCAGAAGACGGACAAAGGTAGTGAACCACTTGGTCCTTTTGAAGAGAAGGACACATTCAAGGCAGAGTGGAATAGAGTTCAGCTACTTGCAGACCTTTTCTAGAAACGATGGCGAAAAGAATTCTTCGTAACACTTCAAAGTCGAAGGGAGTGGACACGTAACCAGAGAAATTTATCCGTTGGTGATGTCGTGTTACTCAACGATAGTTCAGCACATCGTTGTTACTGGAAGATGGCAGTAGTGGAACAAGTGTATCCAAGTGAATCTGACAAGAAAGTCCGTGAAGTAAGACTTCGTGTGAACAGAGATGGTGTTAATGTGTTTCATACGCGCCCAGTCACAGAAACTGTCCTTCTGATTGAGGTGTAATTTCATGTACCAGATTTTCATTTAATATACTGAACATTTTATGTAATTAGGTTCATTGGGATATACTTAGATATCAGAAGAGGAGTGTAATATTTATGAACATTTAAATTACATGTTTATATATTTTCTAAATTATTTATATCTATTTCATTGCTAGAGATATCTTTCTTAATCGAATAGTTATCTGTCTTATTATTTCAAGAGTTATCTTTTTATTTGTAAATATGGAGTTACTTTTCCTAAATTCCCCACTTCCTATGTTTATTTCCTGTGTGACCCACATGCCATGTTTTTTCTTCATATTTTGACTAAAGGTGCCACACACTGCTGTAAGTAAACCTTTGCTATTCATTTTTATTTACGCGTATATTTATTATATTCACAGTGTATTTGTATGAAATCTTTGTAATTTGTTTATTAGGAGTATCTATTGTTATCTATTGAAAATATGGAATACCGTTGTTGTTGTCATAATCTATAAACAAAAAAATGGAGTACGTTCATAACATTTTTTTGAGGGAAACTCATTTGTGTCAAAACTTAATATTTTGGACTGATAGTGAATCTTATTCCTATTAAAATTAATCCTTTCAATATTTTTTTTCAATTTTTTACACACTTTATGCTATATCTATAGTTATATAGCGATATCATTTATCATGTAACTGATGATGGATTCTTTGTTTTTGTTTTGTTTCAGTTCTTTACTGTTATCACAATAAAATGGATGCACTGATTGTTGTGTGTGGTTAACTATCTGCAATATACAGGTATAAATAAGGGATGTAAACACTACACTCAGTGTCACTGTTTATATGCTTTACTGGCATAGCCTGCTGATTAATACATGTGTAACGTGAATAGCATGCATGCATGCAAAATTACTTTATGTCTCTCACTATTTTCTAGATACTAGCAGCTCATCGCAGCTTTTTTTGCTCAGAATTTCAAATACGACAGGACAAAAATCTGTGAGGTTGCAAATTTCATTTATTCCATAGTCATGCAAAAGTTACTTGTTATTCCCATTTAAACAATAAAGTACGACAAAACTATATAACAATAACAGTGAATTTAATATCTAATGCTTAAAATTTGTAAATGCAGGCGAATTTGTTTCCGAATTATTTTTATACCTTTTTCAGGATGAGAATTCATCTTTTTATTTTTTTTCTTTCTCAGTACATGTAAATATGATACTTATTTTTTAACTTGGAGCTCAAAACAACAAAAAGCTCATTCGTAGGCATTTTGAAAGAAGACCTTTCTTGTTGCAATAGCAACAAGAGTTTAATTTCACATTATAATTGTGTTTCGCGTCTAACTGCAACGTTTGGGGAATCCTGTGGCTTAAAAAAATTGAAAAGACGTGTTCTGAGATGATCAGATTTTTCCAGCAGTATTCTTGCCACCTTAGTTCCACTGTTTTTGACAATCTGGAATAAATTTTCTCGTCGTGATTCATTGCTTTTTTTCTCCGCATCTTCCATTTTTTTAAGTTCTGTGCTCATATCTCGCTTTAGTATTTTAATTTTTTTGTCAAATTCTGCGATATGGTGTTTTGCTATTTGACAATTTTTTTCAAGTTCATTATTTTGAGACCTAATATTTGTATCTAAATCTCTGTATTTTTCAGTGATTTTTTCAAAATTAAGTTCCGGCTCTAAGATTTGTTCAATTTCTATCTCTTTTAATAATCTCTCTGTTTCATTGAACATATCGTCAGTGTAATACTTATTTTCTGTTCTTGACAGATTTTTATCAATTATGTCTAATAACTGTTTAACTTGTTGATCGTTTTTCTCTTCTGTACATCTATTATTGAAAGCAATATATCTATCTCCGCATTTTCCTAAAACAGATTTGAGATTTTTAGGAATAGACTGAAGATATTCTTCAAGTGTTTTTCCGTCATATTCTAGATCATCAAGTCGGGTAAAAAGAACAATAAAATGTTCAAAAACAGCATTTTCAAACAATTTAAACAAGAGTAAAGCTGTTGTCTCATCCTCTTTTGTGAAACGTGAAATATTAAGTACAAGAATAAATGCATGTGGTCCTGGTGCAGCCATGCTCATGCATTGTAAAATTTCTTCAGCAATTTTTTCATGCGTCATATGTGTATCAAAAAATCCTGGTGTGTCTATGACTTTTATTTCTCTGTTGAATCGTTCTACAGAACCTGAACAGCATTCCTTGGTAATAGATGACCCAGAAGATGACGTTGAGAAACTTGTTCTACCCAAAATAGTGTTCGCAGTTGTACTTTTTCCCGAGCCAGTTTTTCCGATTAAGATAATCCTCAGATTCTCTTTTTGATTGTTTACTAAAAAAGAGAGAAACAATACATTTAGATCAATAAGATGAAGTTTCAATGAAATATTTTTAAGTTGTTAATGTGACGAATGTTCAATTTGATATCTGTGATAATGGGTTCCACATTTGAGGGCGAAAATGTGACAGAAAACAAAAAGGCGTGTTGTATTTATAACCTTCATTGCCCTGTATAAGGATTAATATTTGTATAATCTGAATTTAACTATGCGATCATCCCTAGAGAGCTATACTTTGTGCAAGCTGATTAGCATCGGATTTCTTTACCTTCATTTGAAATGAAACAGTTCTCAGAGAAAAATGATATTACTGCTGCAAAATACTGCAATGTTTACTTGGAATTCTTTACTCTTTCATAAAACATAATTAACGATTTTTGATAGACACATGTAGCTATTTTCCCTAATATTTTGAAAAATCTTTGGAGCTTTTTGTGCCCAGTTGTTTTTTTTCTGTTATTTTGCATTAATTCAATGCGTATTATGCAAATGCACCGAGTTTATCAAAGGACGGCTATTTTCTATATAATCTTTGACATGGGGAAGTTGTTTCCAGCAGTTTTCGGGAAAAGGAAATTGTCTTCACGAAAACAGAATCAATTCACATGAAAAATTATCCATATACCGTTGAACTTTTCCGATCTCTGTAGGCGTTCATACATGTACGTAGAATATGCTCTATATTTGTTGCTGTACAAATTATTTTCTAATTTAAGATATGTCACGCGACAGACAACTATTGTCAATGAAGTCGCATTGACCTAACTCAGCAGAGGCCCCATACATACATATATTATAGAAAAATTCCAATTAAGGATACTTAACATAACAAAAAAAAATTTCACGGATTGATAAATGTTCTTTGACTGATTTTTAAAAAAAATATTATTCATTACACAATTTCCATCGATACCCATTTACAATTGTCAGTTAACCCGGGTATTTAGGATAAACAGTTTAAAAACAAAAAAAAACTACAAATACCAAGTTATTATAGCAAATTTGTTAAAAGTTTAACACGAAATCTATATCTTTTATAATGAATCTCTAACGCGTTATTCTAACTGAACTTTTCTTGTATAATATTTTCTATTCTGAATTTCTGCTTTTCATTTAAGATTTATATACGTATAGGGGATTAATTTCACGGGTTGTAATTTTTACGGTTTTCTCTCATCCGAAACGATTGCAGTATCTGTGATTCTTGAAATTTGGTATGTAATAAAAGTTACTTCCCTTGTCTCCATTTAATCCATATCATAGCTACATGTTAACGACATTAATCAGCGTTTTGTCTTTATTTTACAAACAACAGCGTAGGTTATTATAAAATTGTTAGATTTTATTATACAAATATGGACTCAATGTAGGTCAATATGCATTTATAAGGACCCAGGATGACAAATATTGACCTCAGATACATGGAATATATCGACCTAGGGCGCTAGCCCTCGGTCAATATACTCCATGTATCTGAGTTCAATATCTGCCATCAATATCTGAGGTCAATATCTGCAAATTTACAGTCTTAAAGCTGAACACGACTTGTTAATAGGTTAACGCCATTTTCGATGTCATCAACTCCAGGATATACCCTTTGTGCTTTATTGTCACGGGTATCGGCGAGGTCGTGCATTGCATCTGCAAATATTTTCGTGTTTGTTAGTCTACACTGAACCTTGCAACTATTGTAAGAGGCTTTTGTATCTTACTTTCCTGCATAGAAGTATTGTATAGCAGACGTCCATGTACACCGGTGATAATTCATTACACGGAACAGTGACAAAGTGACTGACTCATTCTATAGGGTCCTGTAAATATAGCAAAAGCTCAAACAATTATGGCGGACATATTCTTTTTACGAATTGTGTTCAGCTTTAAGGTCGTCATGGCAGAGTCGAGAATAACGATGTACAAACATGTGACCTATAATCTAAGACTTCAAATGCTGGCATTGAATGCAGAGCAAAATATTGGTAAGTGTAGAATATTGTATGGAATCTGCACAAGAATAAATATTTCATAGGAGTTTGATTCAAATTTGTGTTGAGAAAATCAACAAGGCGTGGCAGAGAATAAAAAAATACTAAGGAACTACGGGCACTAGACCTGCATGCGTGTACAGGAGCGCTAAATGTAGAATATTGATTTAAAATTTCTATAAAAATAAGCAAACACTTTTGAATTTTTTTTAATTTTGAAGAGAAAATTGGCCGGGGCAGCTTGGATTGATTGATTGATTGCATATTGTTTAGCGTCCCTCTCGAGAATTTTTCACTCATATGGAGACGTCACCGTATGCCGGTAAAGGGCTTCAAATTTTGACCTTTACTCGGCACTCAGGGTTATTGAGCAGTATGGGATCTTTATGACACAGGGCCTCAGTTTTTAAGGTCTCAATCGAGGGACCCTCAACTTTCACTTCAAAGTGCCGAGCGCATGGCGAAGGAACAGTCGCTACCTATTTTAACGACTAGGTCAGTCGCGGTCAAGATACAAACTCACGACCTCATGATCAGGTAGCGAGCGCAGATGCAGCTTGGAGAATAAGGATATACAAAAGACCTGAGGACACAAGGCCTAAGGATCAGGAAACGAACAAAATCCCGTAATGCTGAATTAAGAGCAATGTGATAGAGTAAAAACAAACAAATATAAAGAAATACTCAACAATAGCATCATTATTTAAGTTAGCACAAGGTAAAATCATTCATTTCACGATTGAGTATTATAAACAATGCAAGGGTCTGATGGCATGGGAGGTAAAGACCCGGGAGTGAGAAAAATCCGACCATGTCAGTGTTCAGTACATAATATATAATTATAACAGTAACTTGATCCTAAGGGTCGTATCACGTCGAGTTGACAGACAATGATCATCAGAACAATCGAGAAGCGAAGCGTCAAGTTTTATCTGATGATCCGCGCCTTTCAACGAGACGTGATACGGCTCTTTTGATCAAGTCACTTTTCTAATGATACACTTATAATATACCCCCCTTATAACTAGCAAAATATAGCAAAAAACTTAAGAGAGCATTTGTTTAATAGTTATCCATAACTAGAGCCGAGCTCGTTGCAAAGCAACGAGTAGGTCTTCTGTAGGAGCTGTGGACAGGAAGTACCGACCTTAGGTCAAGGTCACTGCACATCCTTTCTTCTTAGCATGAGCCTCCAGTGAATCTTAATTACAAAGTTATGCTTGAACATTGTTTTCTCTGTCAGTGACCTTGATTTGCTAGAAAGACCTGACACAACCTCCAATCATAAGTAATCTAAGTTTCAAGTAAGAGCCTCCAATGATTTTCATTTACTAATTTATAGCATGGGAAAGAAAAAAATTTCTTCTGTCAGTGACCTTGATTTTAACGGAATAACCTTGGCTGTGGGTCAAGACAAACCCTCAGTCTGAAACAACTTTAAGTGATTAGAAATTCATAACCCTGACAGGAATTTTACAACTTTACAACTTTTCTGTCATTGGCACTGAATGTGTTAAAATGGCCTTATTTCAAGTCATCTAAAACCGGCGGACTATAAGCAATCAATATCAAGTATAAACTGAAACAAATATAGTCAAGATTGAAATGATACTATTTTCTGAATCAAAATCATAGAAAATCCTTTTTGTCACAAGCAATCTCTATATAAGCTTACAGATATTCTCGATTACATATAAATGACTGCGACAAAAGATTAATTCTTTCTCCAGTGACCTTGAATTTGATGCAATATTGCCTTGAATCAATACAATGACACATCCTAGGATCATTGGAAATCTTTGTATCGAGAATAAACTTCCGGTTTCTTGAAGTTATAGCCTGGCCTTCTGGGAAAAAAACTTTGAGGGACACACAGACATTTGGACAGTTAATCAGACAATTTAATTCCCAACCCATCCACCCTACCCCCAAAAATACACAATCCTATGTTAAATTTTAAATACCTATTCTGGTCATGGTTTGAAAAAAAGTAATTTTTTTATATCAGAAAGCTTTTATAAGTATGGTTTCTCATTCTTGCCCAGAAGTTCGTAAGAATAATATTTTAAAACGACCATTTCTTATTTTTACTTTGTTTTCTTCATTATCAATCCTTATGTCGTGGGTTTTTAGTCCCACTGTGGGACTTGGGGACCTGTTCTTCGAATGAGACTGTATAAAACGAGGTCCCGTATCGCTTCAGAGGCTGGCACTAAAACGATCCCTCCATGCTCAAAGGCCCTAAGTGCCCATTATAGGACAATATTTGAAGCTCTCCACTGGCAAGTTATGGCGTCTCTATATGAGTGAAAGATTCTCGAGAGGGACATTAAAATATACACAATAAATCATAACACCACCTCCTAAAAATACCTGATTAAGAATTTCGGCTCTGAACTATTTCAGGAGCGCTGCTAAATGTACAGGCTACGTACAACTATAAGTCCATTGAATAAGAATGTTTACTTTGGAATATTTCTTGTACAGTTTTTGTATTGATCAATTTACAAACGTAAGTTATTTTCAGCTTAGAACAAATTACGCAGCATTGTTAAGGCTTGAATTAGGGGGCGGGGCCTAATTTATATGGGAAAAATTTACTACATATGATGTCGCAAAAAAATATGACTTTTATGTATTTTTCATAATACCTGAAAATGAAATAATTTGCAAATTTTAACTGTATTAGCATAATAAACAACAATAAAACTTATCAATGCATTAAAAAACGTGGCTAGGTTAATCCCGTGTAGCTGG